AAATAATAAGCAAACTCTAATTATCATATCATCAACAAATTCAATTTTTGTCTTACAATATTGTTCACCAGTATAATTACAATTGCACATTTAACTCACTCGATAATTTCATTTCACGAGATGCAGAAAAGCAGTGTGACAAGTAACAATGAAAACTGAAAAAAATGATCAACAATGCATAGAGGTACTTTCAGTTGAAAAGCTTGCTTTAAATATTTTGGTATCCTTTTTATTGTTACCAATGTAAATACTTTAAAGTGACACAGAAAACTACCTGCACAGTGGCTGTCACTAATATATAAAACATGTTTTATTATCAATAAAAAATAGTCTAAATGCATTTCATTTTAACCATCACTTGCACATTATTTACTCCTCAATTCTAATTCATTAAAGATGCATCTCATACCAGAGGCTGAACATACTCACAATAAGCTACAGTACTAACCTAAAAGCCCTCTTTTGCATTCTGTTCTTCTTCATTTTTTTTTAAATTTATACATATTCTTTTAACTTTCAGCAGAGTCCACCTGCCCTTCATATAGTAGTTTGGTTTATACAATTGATTAACTGGTTCAATAAATATGTCCTTAAACTTGCAACAAAGGCCAGGTATGCCTTTTGTCTTTGTGCAAAATATCTCTCTTTTACATGTATTACGTAGGCTTGACAAAATTATAATAATTTTCTCATCTACTTTCAGGTGGTTCCCTTTTTCTTTTTGACTGGAAAATGCTGAGGTACTTTCGGAAGACGGCCATAATTGGAGAAAGATGGAAAGATAGTGAAGGAGGCTCATGAAAGGCTCAAGGTATGTGCTGGATGATATTTCTCTGCTTTTTACTTCAATTTTACTTGTAGAAATCTGAAAAATTACACTAACTGTTTGTTATGATGTCATTTATTATATTGATGCTTCAAAAACAATGTATCGAGAGGTCAATATTTTTCTTTTTCAAGCTAGAAACACTGATGTATTGCATTGCTACTATGGCCATGGAGAAGATGATGAAAATTTTGAAGAAAAAATTGATGAAGACAAATCAACGAACTCTTTTAATGTAGAATTGAACAAACATCAATGTGAGATACAAATCATAAATCTGCCTTCTCATGCTCATTTTTGTTTCCTACCTTCTCACGCTCATTTTTTTCCTACTTTGCCTTCTAACGTACAACCCATTATAATTTGTTTCCTTGAATTTGTTGTATGTTGGTCTTCGTGTTGTTGTACTTTGAGAGGTAATTTTGTTGTTGATTTGCAGGTAAGAATGGTTGAAGTTCAGAGCGATTAGGTCATGTGTGTGGAGCACCCTGCACCTGCTTCTTGGAAAAATTGGTATTTTTTTATTCTGTTTTTTGTTATTTTTTCTTCATTAGTTCTTTTACATTTATGAAATTTTGGAACTATCAAAAAGAGTGCCTCTCTTCAACCAGATTACTCAAAGACTAAAATTCTGGAACTTTCATAGGAATGCTATTAAGGAGATAATATAATTGTATTTTTGATAGAGCTTTTTGTCAAAAGATGGTCATAATTCAAATGGAAATAATTTTCACTTTCTTAATCAACTAGGAACTTTCAGACTTGGGATAGGGGATTGGTTGACTGGTATGTCAGTGAACGCAGCTGTGCAATTGCAGTAAAAAATTGTTATGCTTTATTGCATACAAATATTTAGCATTGGAT